TTGTAAATATTTTTCACTTAATAATAAAAACAATAATAATAATAATAATAATAAAATTACTGCTGTTTCTTTACCTACTACGTTACTACGAGTGCTATCATTATCACTATCGGTATTATCATTACTACTATCGGATTCTTATCATATATAATTTAGTATACTTATGCAATTATTTCTTGTTATGTTGGAGCTGACCATATAAATTCTTTAGGATACCACTCAAAATACAGATAGATCTTAATAAAATAAATTTTTTTTTATAAAATATTTAATAACATGGAATTATATTATTCTCTAATTTACAAAAAAATAAACATTTTACTTCATTGAATTCGTTATATAATTATTTTTCTTATTTTTTATTCAACTATTTATTAAGAATAAACTATTTTTTCTTTATTATATATATCTTTCTGTTCTTCTTTTAGATATCTGTTTTTTACTATTCGTTTTATTCTTTTAGATATATAAATTATAAATATTTGTATAAATTGTGAAAATAGTAATCTTCAAAATAATATATGGATGTTTTTTTTAATAATAAAATAGCGGTAAATAAAAAAACCAATTATATATTATGAGTTTTAATGTTTTCATGTTCAAATTACTGAGTAAATAAATAAATACTAAAACAATAATAATTCCCATTTATTTTTTCCATTTATGTAATTGACATTATTTAAGACTATTTTCAAATTAACATATGTTATTATATGACTCGACTGAAGTACATCGTAAAAATGTTTACATAGCTATATAAAATTTGATATAGCATAACAATATTGCGTGTATAAATGAAATTTATTTAATAAATAGAAATAGACTATATGAAATTTATAGCTAAGCAATTTAAAAATATTCATTATTTAAATAATTTTTTATTAATTTACACGAATAAAATTACTTTCAAAGAGAAACAATTGATATATACTTATTAAATAATTAAGGATACCAAATTTAGATATTCTGCCTATAAATTTAATTAACAATAATAAAGTATTAGTTAATTGAATTTCATATGTATTATTATGGCTTTTGCACAGGTATCTAATTTTGTTAAAGCTAACGCAGACTAATGTATTATGGGCAGTCTACTTTATAATTAAATATTCTTAATATTAAATTAGACGCAGGCTTATTGCAAGAGCTTGCGCAGTGCATTCTGGACTGTAGGTAGTTTTACGCGCGCGCGCACGTACGTACGCATACATGCATATGTGATAATAAATTTAATTTCTCTCTTAAAATGCGATTACGTGTATTCCTTGAGGCTGGGCTTGGGCCCTTGTTTAATTACATAGCTGATTTTTTCGGTTTTTGGTCAACCTATTTTGAATAAGTTTAAAAGTTCCATTCGACACTAAAGTATACATTATATATATATATATATATATATATATACTCTATTTAAATTCATTTTTATTTTATACGAAATATATGTTAAATATTTAAATAAAGTTATCAAATATATCTTCCATTTTATTACGAATTAGTTTAAAATGATTATTTACTTACTCGTAATCATTACAACAATAGAACATTAATCATTGAAATTTATGACTTGTGAATTTATTAGTAAGATAATTTTGACAAAGTAAAATTATAAAAATCTATTAATTGTAAATTAAAAAGTAAATTTATTTATCTAAATTAATTTTGGTATTCAACTAAATCAGATTATATCGTTATTTAGAAAGTTAGTGAAGATGACGTCTATTGGAGGCAGAGAACAATTGGTCTATGATTTTTTCTTCTTTTTATAACTTTCTCACCTCACTTCTTATTCATTCTTAATTTATCATTGAAAATTCATTAGAATTTTTTTCCTAAATAATTCTAAGTAATTGCCTATTTCTAATTTCATTTCATTTTATATATAGTTAAAGCAAGATTCTTTTTACTTATCCTATATAACAAGACTTATAATACATAAGGTAATTCTTAAAACTAAAATAATCTGTTTAGTTATCTATTTATTATCACGTAAATTTATGTATATATTTTTTTTACAGATAAATGATCACGCCGTTATATTCTAGCGATCGTTTATTCTTATGAAATACCGTTAGTATTTTAAGATATTCTACGTTATTGAATACAGTTTACTCAATTTCGATTACTTCAAATATTTACAATTTTCTTATTAAAAATTATATAATAACTATATAAAATATAAAATGTACGAAAATGAAATATAAATATCTTATACATCCTGTTGATGTAATTTAATATTACTTTATGTTTAACAGAAATTACGTAATTAAATAATGGTACATAAGAATATATTATATTAAACATAATACCTATTTAATATACTTATTTCCTTTAATATTACGCTAATATGCTGTATTAAATATGTATTGCACGAAAATGCTTATATTTCATTATTTTATATCTTATATCAGTCTATAGGACATGAAATATAAAAATTATAAAAAATCCAATTTTTTCGTTAAAAAAAAAAAATTAAAAAATATAAATGATATTCTATTGGTATTGAATTCCTTTTACCGTGTAATTTAAATGCAATTAATACCTACGATAATTTTCATAGCATTTTATTTACTTACATTTCGCGCTTTTACAAGTATCAATGAGCTGAAAACTATTTGCGCATGCGTATATGACGATTCAATAAATCATCCTGCATTACAATGGATTTATTTTCCGTTACTCTTAGATTGTTCATTGCTGTATCGTAATTATCAGTACTAATAAAATGTTTACTGTAATAGATGAAAATGTAATAGAAATTTAAAAAATAAGAATTGTAAATGATAATTTGTCGCGATTAAGTAATTAATTTTTTCAAAACTATCAATATTACAGATTATAAAATTTGGAGTTGAATCAGTTTGACTATTTATCAGATAATTTATGTAGTTAATATTAAGTTTTCTCTTCAAGGATTTTTATTCGTTGTATTGGTTATTAAATTATTGATTAATGTATTTGAAAGCAACATATTTAAATGAATAGGATTGAACTTTTATCATTAACTATTTTTTGAGTAATCATCAAAGTACAAAAATGTCTTCAGAGGATCCTAATTCTTGGAGAACACCCACTTTCCGACAAAGCATGATAGCTAAAATGTAATTATATTATAATAATGATTTTACTATATAAACATCTGCAGTTTTTTAATTTATATTTAATACTTTAATTTCCAGAGAAGAAAATATACAAAAGTTTCAAATACCAATAGTAAAGAATGCTAGTGATATGGAAAATCATGTATTTATGAAAGCCAAAACAAAGGTATCTTTTTAAAATTTATATTAACTTGTCATAAAGAATAAATTTAACATATTAAAATTATAACTTTTAGGAGGACTACTTGGGCTTTGTTGCTAGACTAATTTTACATATTTCTCAAATGAGTAATTAATGATTTAATATTTCGAAATTTATAAAATAAAAAAATTCAATCAATTTAAATGTAAATACATGTTGTTGTATGATAGATAATAAAAAACCTGCTGGAACAATGGCACCAGGAGCAAGTAATACAAATGCAGGAGTTCAACAAGGTATGCCAGATCCAATTGGAGCATTACAAACTTTAGCTCGTCAAGGTACAGGTAATAATGCAAATATGGGAATGCCAGGAGGTCCAGGTCAAAGTCCACAAACTATGGTTTCTCAACAAGCCCCAGGTACCAACACTGCTACAAATCGTAAGTTTACTGATTTTTTTTTTTTAAGTTATTTTGAGTCAAATTTAAGAAGTAATATTTGAAATTTAGCTAAATTATTATTTATCTTTATATATAAAATCTAACAATAAAGTACATAGTATTAATGTATAATGAATATATTATAATGAATACAGAATTTTTTAAAACATGTCTACATGTACCAAATATTTATATATCAGTAAGATATTTTTATATAATTTAAGTATATTATAAGTATTAATATCTAGTTTAATATCAATATTAATATTTTATTAATATTTTGAATATGAATCAGTGTAATATTGTAAAAAATATTCTAAATATTATAAATCTGTATTCAGTCCTCCAAAGTTTAAATCAAAGGCCTGGACAACCGATGAATATGCCTGGAATGCACAATAAAATGTCAGGAATGAGTATGATGTCAGGTCAACCTGGGTGTCCACCAATGGCTGTAAATCAAATGGGTCAAATGCAAAATATGCAAGGAAATCCAATGTTAGCTCAAATAAATCAAATGAATCAAGCCAGTATAGGACAACAAATGGGAGCTCAGCCGGGTCAACCACAGCAAATGGGTGGAGCACCAATGAATGTATCGCAAATAGGACAAAATCAAATGCAGGCTATACAGGTAAAATTGATGATGCATAATTCTGTTAAGATTCCTTATATGGAGCTTATTTTTTTTTATAACATTAATGATTTTATAATTAAATTACTTACTTGTCAAGTTTAATTGTTAAAATTGCTAAAATTTAATTGTACACAATTGTATTATGCAGTTATATTTTACTATATTTTTATTATATTTATAATTAAATTTTAATTTAAAAATTTTTTTTTTATAAAATTGTTCTATTAATATTTTTATTAATATTTCTATAATATTAAAATTCTAAATCATATTTTTGATTGTATACTTAAAAGGTATTTAAAAAAAGATATTTTTTCTTTTTAAATTAAATAGATAACAATTAAAATTTTTAGAATCAAATGCAAAACCAAATGGGAGGGCATCAATTAGGAGGGTCGATTAACACTGGAATGCAACCAGTTATGACACCTCAACAAGGGCCGCAACAGCAGCAGCACATGAATCAAATAAATTCTGCACAAATAGCTGCAAATCAATTATCACAGACACAACTCAGTCATTTACAGCGGAAAGTAAGAATTCAAGTTTGCACTTTAATAGTAAAGAATTTTTAGAATACTAGAACATTTAATAATTTACTATACCTAAAAATTTTATTTATTAATAACTATGTTGCGTTTTTTTATATTAATAACACATTATTTTAAATTAGACATTTGAGAATTTAAATGATTGCTATGTAATTTATATTTATTAAAACTAAAATTGTGTGTTTTATTTATTTAAACAAATTAAAAAAATGTATTAATTTGTTTTTTTCTTTTTGTTTAAAAATATATTACATAATATTTTACTTTTATATATATGTATATATATATATATATATATATACTTATTTATTTATTTATGATTTTGTTATAATTAAATGGATATTTTTTATAAAAATATTATTTATTAAATATTTATACTTACTATTTTATTTACAGCCAGTTGAGATGATGAACGCTGGATTTCCAGGACCAAGGAATGTCACACCAAATCAATTTTTGAGACAAAGCCCATCACCTTCTGCTCCAAGTCCTGGAGGACTTGGAGCACCAACGCAAACAAAGTATGTATTTGTTATATAATTATCAAAATATAATATTTATGAAACTGGTAAATTGAAATGTCATAAATAATTAAAATAAAATATTTCTGTGTAAATAAAATGAATTTCTAATGCTTATTTTCATTCACAGTCAAATGGTAGCATCACCAGCTTTAGTACCATCTCCTAATACTCAACATACAATGCTTGCTGGAGCGCAGCGTTCTGTAGGTATGAGAATTTTTAATCTGTACTAATACAATACTCTCTTTCCAAATATTACTAAATATTACAAAAAAATTTATTAAAAAATTATTATAAAATAAAATTATCTGTATGATTAATTTTGTAGTAATGAATTCTTGATAAATTGTTTTCAGCAATGGCTCCTTCACCAAGTAGTTCATTAAATACACCTGCTGGTGCACTTGGTGCAACTCCTAGTCCATTGCAAGATGATCAAACTTCTCAAGCATACAAAGATAAAGTTCGAAAACTTAGTAAATATATAGAACCATTAAGAAAAATGATTTTAAAAATGACTAACGAAGGAAGTAAGTATTAAATAAAATTTGCAATTAATTAAACATAAAAATTACAAATTCTTTTTTGTTTATATGACAAAGCAGATACTGAAAAAATGAGTAAGATGAAAAAACTTTTAGAAATCTTAACAAATCCTAGTTCAAGTACAAAATTAGATGTATTACAGAAATGTGAAGTAGTCTTAGAAAAAATGGATTTTAAGAAACTAGAAGCGGTAGGCCCTACAGTTCCGACTACATTAAAAGAGCATCATTTTTTTACTCCTCTCTTAGAAGTAGTAAATACACTCTTGCAGAGTCCAGTAGCCAATCATACTCTTCATCGAACTTTCGGCCCATGCTTAGAGGCACTATTTGGACCAGAAATTAAGTAAGTAAATTTATACTGAAGAGAATCACTGTTTAATTAGGTAACCATTCGGTTTTATTGCGTTCTAAATTCCATATTTTGAACAAATTATTTAAATACAAATTTTCTGAATTTCAAAATGCCCTTTATGTATTAAGAATAATGTGTTCGATACTTGTTTTTAACTTATTGTACAGTATGAAAGAATCAATAAAGAATTAGTAATTTAAAAATATGTAAAATAACAATATTAAAATTTACTCAAATTATTAATATTTAATATGAATATGTGCATTTAATTACTGTATATACGATGGTTTTTATTAATTTCTTTTGAGAATATAAATAATATGAAGAAAAATGAACTAATAATACAATTAAGAAGACATCCATGTAATACTTGTCCATGGAAATTAAGTATAACAGTCGATCCTAGTCAACAGTTACTAAATTATTGTTGCTTTAACCTACTTATAATTTTCTTTATTAAAATCATCTATTAATTCATCTCGTTGTTAAAGTATTAAATAATTGTTTCAAATATTATAGATAGTTTAATAATTGTTATAGAAATCTACCACCTCCATTAAAGAAACAAAGGACTGAAGAAACTTCTTGTGAAATACCTGATGTTTTGCAGGGAGAAATAGCTCGGCTAGATCAACGATTTAAAGTAATTTTTAACTTACGTACACAAATCATTAAATTTAAAAAAATTTTTAAAAATGTTCTACTAATACATATGGACATAAATATACGTAGATAAGCCTTGATCCAGCGCAACAAAATGGTTCGAAATGCATCCAGCTGATTTGTTGGTTGGATGATAAGCATTTACCGTGCGTACCACCTGTTCTCGTGATCGTACCCACGGACTATCCAACCATCCCTCCACGTTGCGTTCTAACAAGCCATGAATATACCACGACTTACCTTAGTGCAGTGCAAAAGGGCCTAGACGCACGATTAGCTAAGTTACCCAAAAGATTCTCAGTGTCACAACTATTGGATACTTGGGAAATGAGTGTACGCCAGGCCAGCGCACCCAAAGCTTACAATCAACACGTCGGTGTCTCGATCGCAGCCATGTTAACTGCTTCAACTGTGACGACTGCAACGACAACCACAACAACTGGAGTATCAGTACCGGCTACAACAACAGCCTCCAATGTAACTAATGCCTTGGTTAATGACATATCCACAAACAGCATGATTACAATTTCTGGGTCTTAAAAGATTTTCTAAAATTTTGTATAATAGAGTAATCTCTTTATGGAAACTTGCATTTTTTTTTTTTTTTTTTTTTTTTGATCTTTTCTTTATAATTTTGTAAGATACATATGCATAAATGATTAAAAAATAACTTTTACCTAACATTAAAACTCATTTCTTGCTCTTGATAAATGTGGAAACTTTCCAAGGATATGGAAATATAAATGTTGCTATTTTTATCTATATCTTTTTTTAAAAACTAAAAATAATATAAAATTCATAACATTAATGAAAACAGTGCAATCCTACAGTATCAATTTAATACAAAATATATTTGAAAAAATTTGAAAAATATATTTATAAATTTATTTGAAAAATAATTAATAGAAATAGACTGATATTTGATCACATAATATAACCACAAATACAATTAATGTTTTTAGTTCAGTAATTATATGTAAAAATATATTATCTAAACTTAAATTATGTAAGACAATTTTAAATTATATATATATATATATATACAGACAGATCGAGTATAGAATTAAATAATTATAATGAAAATAGGTAATATTGTGATTTTTACCAAAATTATAAAAAAATATTGTTAGTTAAAAATAATATTGGTTTATTATTTTATTATAGTATTATTTCATTCTCTGCAATTTAATTTTAAATAATATATTTTTGTCTTACGCTACTTACTCAACTAGAAATAATACATATGTGTATGCATGCGTGTATGCACAATACATATGAACGCATACTAAAGTTACGTTTTCTATTCAATAACAAATATATATGATAATATTTATGTTCATTAAATAAATTATTGTATTATAATAAATTTACTAATTACAAATAGAAAATAATATTTCATAATACAAGTATCTAATTATTTGTTTGCTAATGAAACCATATATAAAGGTAGCTGTATACAATGTTTGAATTTTTTAAAGTTGCATGTTATTATATTGTTATTACACTTTGTTGATGTGGGACCCAGTATCCAATCATGGTAATTAAAAACATCAAACTGTGGAACATCGATTTGAATAATAATATATTTAAGTATTTTATTTTAAAATAAAGTAAATATTTTTAATTCTTTATAAAAGTTTTTTCTTTATTATTTAGATGTACGATTCTCTTAGGTTATCTTCTACTTATATATCATTTTAAAATTATTAATTAATTTGACTATATTTAAGGAATTATGCTATAAATGTTAAAAAATAACTTCAATTCCATTGCGCATCAATTTAGAAATATTCTAAAAAATATAGTTGTATCTTTTCGTCTTATTTTTATTTGGCAGATTTTTGTAAAATTGATACATTTTCAAAGACCATTTTTTAGGTTTTACTATTTTGCTGTTAAAATGTAAAACTAATTAAAATGCTTTCTATTTTTTTTAAGGTCTTGGGATTTAATAAAAAAATCGACTCTGGAAGTTTGCAGTTTTTAAGCTGTATGGGCTCTTATTTAGCAGTATTTTTATTGATGCATCTAATCGATATTTATTATATAAAGAATATTATTAGAATATTATGTGATTGTGCTAGATTTAGACACCATTCTTATATGTATCTAATGATACTATTTTCACTACGTTTTTATAATTGTTAGTGAAAATTCCATCACTAATAGCTGAATTAAAAACTTTCTGTATAATAATAATAGTTATAAGATTTGTCCGATTATCTTATATTATTGATATCTGAAGCGTTTTATCTAACAGTAATATACAGAAAATTGTAAAAAAGAAAAATAGATAATTACTCTTTTTATATTAGCCTTAGATATTACGTATTTCAAATTATTACTAAAACATTTTAGATATTTTTGATTTAAGTACATAATTTTTAAGCACAAGTCATTTAGATTAGGTATAAAATATTAAAATTATCATTTATTTGTATTGCCTAGTATATTTCACTTGTTATAAATTTTATTGCATGATCTGTATAATTTATTTAAATAACAGTACTTTTAGATTTGTAATATAATTTAATTTTAATTTTATATTCATTCTTCACTTGAGAACAAATGTTAAAAATGTAATTATAAACTCTTTATAATTATAATATTAGTTATAACTATTATTAATATTACAAAAAAATTGTGAAAATTATTTTTACATGGTGATTTTTTATTTAAAATTTACATTTTCATTATAGAACTCTAAAAATATAAATGTTATGGATTTTTATTGAAAAAATTAATTAATTAAATAGATTTTTATAAAAATATTTACAAAATTTTTATTTTGATTTTTTATAAAAATACATAAAGTATCGGATAATCAATCTTACCACACAGTTAGAAACTACTTCTTATGACATACTTGTCGTTCAATCTTCCATAACGTTTTTATACTCACTAGCCTTCGGAGTATTATTAAGCAGCATAATTAAATATTAAACATTATAAAATATTAAAAGATATATTAACACTGTAATTATAATATTTTACAGACTTTAATAAAGATGTGTAAACTTTGCTTACTACGAGCTGCGGAAACTAAAGTATAGTATATACATAGTACATACAGTGGTATAGTTTATAAATTTTATTCGATAAATATTTATCAGCTCCCGAAACAATTATGTTACATTATCAAGAAACCTTATCTTAGTCGTTATGTGTATCTATCAATTTATCGATAAATTTTCTTTAACTTTCTACTAAAGCATAATGTCTTGGGTCATATCCAGTAAGTAAATAATTAAGATAATTAATATCATTTTTGCTTACTCCAGTAGCATAAAGTCATGGTTCGTACAAAGTAGATTATTCTTATATATTGCATTAACTGCATCCACATGAAATCCATTAATATCTGTTTACATAGAAAAAAGTAGGGTATCCTAATAACATTTTTTTGTATAAGCATAAATATTAACAATGTTTATCTATGAGACTATGGATTAAGAGATTTGTTGAAAAAAAATATATACACTTAAATAATTACATACATATATAATAATTACAATAAAAATGTACAATAATTACAAATTCTAAAAATAATATTAAATAAAAAGAAAAATTAACTGAAAACAAATTTTCTTATTTAAATAACATAATTTTAGTAACGGTATCGATTGGTTATATGACGAAAATTTGTTTAAATAAAATTATAAACTTCAACACTTATTTAAAAACTATTTATTCTTAATCAATATAAAACTGATAAATTTTCATGTAATTTTATAATTCATATAAAATACATTGTTACATACATTAGTCTATATCAATAAAGATTAGCAACAATAATATGAAGATAAATACAAAATAAAAAAAATTACATATCGGTATTAGGTACAAGAATATGTAATTAGTGATGTAAGCTTCATATAGGAAAATTTGTATTAATTTGTATTAAATATTTTTCTATTTGACAAAAATTCAAATTAAAAAGTATAATTTAACTTCATTTTGTATACCTTTAAAATTTTTTAGTAATATGTATATTATAATACTCTATACAACAATGTGTATATATGTATCTCACGAAACTCTTACTTAATGTATTACTTGCTCTTATATTTGTAATAATTTTTGTATACAAGTTACTATTATTTCTTATTGAACATTAACATTACAAAAATTACGATCAATTTGTCTATATTAAAAATTAATAAAAGTATGGTAAGTTTCCTTTTTCAACATATTTCTATCCTTTATTTCTTATTTCTCAAACAACAATAATAATAAAAAAATTAAAGTGATGTATTATTGATAAATATAAAACAGCTTTTACACGGTCTATCTAGAATGAAATTCAAAATTTTAATAAACATCTCTCATAAAAATTAAAAATTTTTTCCAATTCACTCATTAAAATTCTTTTTAATTAAGCACAAGTATCCCTAAATAATAAAATACGAGGTATTTTTTGTTAATTGTAAATAGTAATATATATTTTACAAATTACATAATTCGAATAATATAAGTTATAAAAAAACTTTAAATAATAATAAATAAATATTTAAATAATACAATAATAATATTATAATAGTGTATTATTGATAATCATGAGAATCATGTTATATAATTAGAAAGTATGCAAATTCTTCATTGTAAAGTATAAAGATAAAAAATTGATGAAAAGCAAGATTAAGTTGAAATGATTTTTAAAAAAGGAAATAAAATAAATAAGAGCAAAAAATAATCGCTGATAATATCTATGAAATTAGTTAACAATTAAGACAGGTATAAAATTTGTGAACTTTATTAAATTCTAAATAAAAAATATTATCATGATATAAACATAAAGTTTTTTTAATTATTTCAAGAAATTATTTCATTATGAAAAGTCAATAAAAATATTATTATGTCTATAAGTTAAGATTAGCCAGAAACGAAAATTTGTTAATAACAAATTGAATTTATAAATTTCAAATGGTTACTTTTGAAAAATAATAAGTATAATTTTAATAGTTCTATGTTTTTCCAATTAAAATTTTGAAAATTCGAATTTTTATCAGTATTAAAATAATTTCAGTGCAATATTTTTATTCTTGATTCAGCTTATTAATAACTTAATTCAATATTTGTTCTATTTATTATTACCACATATAAATTAAAAAATTGTTATTAACGTATATTTTAATATTCTCGTATTATCAAAATTTATAAGATATATACAATGACAAATAATCTGCTATTTTTTAAATAAAAGGTTTTGTTTTTAAATTGATAAACTTATAGTTTATTTTAAATATAAAAAAATGCTAACATTATGTATATAATTTTTGGTTTATGAATAATTTTTACTTTACAAGTTATAAATATATAATATGAGATTATATGCTAAATTTTAAAAATAATTGTTAACGAATCAATGTTAAATAATTGATTTTGCAAATATAATACATCCTATTGTATATTTAAAAAAGTATTTATATACATAAAAATTATAATATTTAAATTGTAAATCTATATATTACAATATTAATTAAATTTTTATTTATTTTATATCGTTATTTATAATGTATTAATATTAAATTAAACAATATCAAATGGATTAACAAAAAAGCTATTTACTATTTAGTAATAATACCGTTTTATAATTTATGTA